GATTGTCCTGTTTTGGTATTTCTATGACCAAGTTCATGTTGTTTAATTACATCAATTTTTTGTTCTAATGACAAGCATCTTCTTTTTATGAGCTTGTACTCAAACTTGTACTGTTGGAGCTTGATTCCTCCAAAAGAATAATTCTTTTCATCATTTTCTCCATTGTGCACAAACATAGTTAGCAACATCTAAAACTTCAACCACAGAATTTTCTAGTGCCAAAATATCTAATATACTGATAATAGACATAGGTACTTACTCTTCTGGGAACTTATCAACTCTGGGAGCTCATCAACTGAAATGTGTAGGCATTCTTTAATGTATATAGGTACAGTAGCTAAGGGACAAGACCTAAATCAGGTTTTAAGTGACATAACCACTTCTAAACAGACATTCTGTTTAAACATGTGTAAGCACCAACATTTTCAAATGCACTAAGTTAAACCTTTCAACAAATTACTTCGAATGTATAGTTCAGTGCTCAAAGTTCAGTAGCAAAGTATACATTTTAAATAAAAGTTTAGTCTCTACAATATTATCCTTAAAAGGAATCAAATAGTAGTCATCACAAGTCTGAATAGAATTTGGTTCATATAATAAACAGGAGAATGCAAACCATATACAAATTTGAGACAAAAATGCTCCTCTATCCTGAAAACTTACGTTTTATGAAGCAATGTCAAGATTGATCTTGCAATACCATGTCCTTACCTGCCAGTCAAGGTATTGATTGGTTTACTGCAGTGAGCAAAATCCTTGTAGCGTCCCAGAGGACTAAATTATTCCCTTAAGTTAGGAACTTGGAGGAATGTGTAGAACTGAAGTAACAATATGTATCCTAGCAACTAGCTCATAGCAACCAGCTCAAGAGAACCTGTCCACAAGACAGTCACATTTATAGAATCCAGTGGAAGAGCCAGTGGAATCAGTTTGGTGGCTTTTTAACATGGCAGACACATTATAGATTCTTATCAGGTGTGCAGTAGATGTTCAAAGTTAACCTTCAGAGTAATGGGAAATAGGACCTGTTTTCTTAGCAATGCTCCAATTGAGTTTCAACCCAGTGTCGGACTAGTTTCACAGAATCAATCAATTTTAGTTATAATGCTATTCCATTTGTGGGATTTGAAGCAATATTGATCACACAAAATGGATTTATATATAGGCAATATACTTTCTACAAGCCTGAAAGTTTAAGTGCTAGCAAATTCCAAGTGCAGATTTTGGTATCATAATCATAGCAGTTTGAGAATGTAAAACTACTTTAATCGATCTATTTATTAGTTGACTTTATAATAAAAATCTCTGAAATCTGGATCAAATTCTTAAGCAAGTCCTAAGATAGTGTATTTAATTCAAACCTACCTATATCTAAAATCTTCATTTTCATCAGCATTGGATGTAGCACCTATATGCATATAATGACACCTTGTGGTGGTTCTAGGCAACACCACAGAGATATTGTGGCATCAAAAGGATGTACAGTAAATAATTTCTTTAAGCCCATGTGTTTAAAAGCGGGAAATTATAGGAAAAACAAAACTTTTAAATTGCTGTATTTGAAAATAATAAAAAACTGTTATAGATAAAATATGTAGAATAATATAACTACTTTTAGTATATAATTATAACTCTAATGTTTTATTGGCTAAAACTGCCCTCTGTAACAAAATTAAATTTTAACCTTCTGAAAATGTTTATAATTTGTTTAGACAGCATGTGATCAACTGAGGAAAAATACAGGATTATCTGCCCTACAAAATAACATCTGAAAAGACCATAAAGATGGCACAAATCATCTAAAGAAATTTATGTACAAAATAAGCTTACTAAAAGCTAATGCAGACATTTACCATCTGCCAAACTTGTTAAATTACAGTAAGCAGATAAAGCAATGAATGTGCCTGTTAAGTGCAACTAATCTCCTGTAAATACTCATTCTGGTTACATTTTATTAAGCAATCTAAATTTTTTAATAGCCACTGCTGTATCCTTTGGAAACCTCTGTTATTTACAAGCTCCCCAGAAAATTTATTTCTCCCTATGAATCATCACAGGCAAAAGTCAGGGATGATGGGAGCTCTAATATAAAACTCTTTATGACCACTGAGACAGGCATGGTTTCAACACAGTATGGATCACTTACTCCCAAGTTGTTTTTTAAATCCTCCACCTACATTTTGAGAATAGAGAAGCATCTGAATCCAAGAACAAAAAATGTGTGAAATTTCCTTTACAAAATCTGAGTTGCCTGAGAAAACTAGGACAGCAACAGCTGAGCCAAGTAGATGGCAAAAACTGGCCAAGCAGGAATGAAGCTGCTGCATACAGAGTAATATGTGTACTGATATATCTGAATTAATATAATTTTGTTCACATGGTATCTCATTGCATATTATCAGTTGCTATCCTGTTAAAAATGCCACAATTTTCAATAAATGGATGACAAGCTAATATAGATGCCAATGAAATCATGGTTATAGTGTTTGCATATTTCTGGGGCAAAATCCTCAACATACACACAGCATTAACATCTGCACAGAAAGCGTGGAATTGGCCAAGGTTTATACCTAATTGGATTAACAGAAATATTCCTTGATCAATCAAATATCAAACAGCATTTGTTTCCATCATCCAGTAACTATATGTCAAGAAGCTTTCAAGAAATAGATAGGGAGAAATGGGCTGCAATTGAACTCAAGCAAGAGAGTTGCTGTCTGTACTCAGTTCTGGGTTCTCCTATAAGGATACCATTACCTCTGAACAAGGAATCCATGATTTAGGTGGCTAGTACTAGGTAGATACTATTAGGCAGGCAAAAGGTAGTTCTCCTTCCTTGAGCAGATCACCAAGGTTTCTTCCAGCCCTGATTCTTTAATTGTAGTGACAGCCAGGAGGTCCTTAACCCAGTTGTAACTGGGGTTACTAGTTGTGACTGTCTGGAGCTGGAGGGATAGTAATTTGTAGAGTTGTAATTGCAGGAATGTTCTAATCTTGGATGGCAAACCTCAGATAAAGAATGTTTCCAATCTTCAGGGATCATTTGTTATTCCTTCTACAAGCCCTCTTGTAAAATTACCACTAATTCCATAGTCTGTAACTGCCTTTAACTCTCTTAAAATCTGATAAGGCAGACCCTCCCATTCTGCTACTTGCAGTCCAAGCTGTGGCCCCTGACCAGGATGATATTGTACTGGACAAACAGACAGTAATTCTGCAAGTTCTGTTGCTGAGACAGAGGCATCCTTTTTACAATTCTCAACCATTTTCTGAAAAGAAGACTGAACAATAGTCAGGCTTTTGCCCTGTATCTGCAGGAGCTGAGGGAATTGAAGACATATATTCAGGTGAAGAAGGGGGACAAATGACAGTATAACATGGAGGTGTTAAGAGAAAGTTCATTGTGACCAAATTTTTCAATTGCATGCCTACATGCCACACCTGCTAAACTTCTACCGTATTTCCCCATGTATAAGCCACCCCTTTTTTCCAAAATTTTCAAGCCCAAAAAGTAGGGGGGTGGCATATACAAAGCAGGTACACTTTTTATACGTGAAAAATGCATAAAATAATAAAGTAGGAATAAACTGGTTTTCCAGCAGTATGCTATACTTTTTTGTAAAAATTGTACGTGATGATACGATTACGAGTGCGAGTACGCGATAGAAATGCATACACTAGGCATCGGCCTGAATGCTTCGTTCCTACTCTCGTTCCGATGCGTAGATTGCTAGCGTCGCCCGCACCGCTTTCGGCGTCATGACCGAAGTTGTAGATCTAGACGTTGAATTTTGTTTCTTTGTAAATTTTCTTTCTTCATAACTTGTTTCTCTAATAAAATATTTTTTTCAAAACTTCACAGTCCAAAAATTGGGGGGGGTGGCTTATACAAAGGGGGTGCTTATACATGGGGAAATACGGTATTTTTGCTCGAGGTTCAGTATGCAATGTTTTCCCTATACGTTCCCAATCAGTTAATTTTAAAGACCCCTCTTTTGGATACCATAAGCACTGAGCTGCAATCTCCTGGACCAGCCTTAAGAGATTTCTCTGTGGTACCTCAGTATTATTTTTCTTCAACAAATAGCCTAATTCATCTACATGCTTCCTTTGTTCCTCAGAAAGCGAAGACCCCATACTTACAGAAACCAAAAGGTTGAAGAAACCACAAAGGGTTGAAGGTGCACCAAATCCTTGCCGGACAAAGTAAGAGGGTCCCTGTTCATCGCCACTTGTTGTAATGACGAGGCAGTCGAGGTGTTTGATCATGATCAACTGAATCATGATGAACTTTATTGGAGTCTAGTCTTAAATTTATACACATTTTTAGTTATACTCCAACATTGGTTAACTTTGGTTACTGCTTAACTTTTGTTACTGTTTAGCATAATAATAATTAACACAATTATCTCTAGTTAAAGTCTAACATATGTTTACTTCCTCTCTCTAATCCTCCTTTAGATTAGTGACTTTCTTTGCCTGAGTTGTATTTGCTTGGAAACATTCTTTATCTGAGGTTTGCCATCCGAGATTAGAACATTCCTGCAATTACAACTCTACAGTAATTCATACTACCATCCACACATTAGCCAATTGCAATTCGCTCTACATGCAGTTTGCTTTTAAAAGCTACTCTGAAACTGCAGTGGCACAACATACAACGGCCTGCATGCTAACTGGCACTGATGCCATGAACATGTGGACCCTGCCTTGAATGCCAGTAAATCTCCATACAATTTAAAGTGTTACTTTTAACCTGTTAATGTCTTTTATGGCTTGGCATCAGGGCTACTGTCTTCAACATTCCTCAACTTAATTTCTCATGGGAGATTACAGGGTCTAAGATGAGGAGGTACTTCTCCATTACGATTACTGCCAGCTAATAAATATAGATTTAGCCCCATCCTTTGGCCTTTGGGGAGCAGGTTAAAGAGCCTTTTCAGTAGTTAAAATTGTGCCTTAGAAATTACACCCACAAAAACACCCACAAATGTATGTTCCAGTTTAGATAATTTTTAAAAAATACATTACAGCTATTTCAACTTCTGTTAAATTGCCAAGATCTGCATGATTACAATGGTCTAAAAATCAAATAAGTAAAAGACATTTCTAAAGTGCAATAGTGATCTCATCACTATTTCCTCATTTGTGTTTCAGCCCTTCTTTCGAGAAAAAAAGCTTTATTTTAGAAAAGTACAATAAAGAAAAAATAGCTACTTATATAAAAATTCACAAATTAGGCATAACATATGGAGGAGGAGCCCATAAAGCACAAATATGATTCTACATTTTAAAGGATTCTCCAAACTGGGCATTTATGGAAATGCACACAAGATCAGTGGGAGCCTTCAGCAAGATATTCCAGATCTGGTTGTCGTAGCCTCTTCTCTCTGTGCTTGTTTTTAGTAAACTCTCTAAGCATCTGTAGGATTTCATTCTCAAAGATTTCTGGAGCAGGCTTTGTTTCTTGAGAAGAAGAAAAAGAGTAAAAATTTTCACAGATCCAATAATCTTTTCCAAAGTTCAGTTACGTTTCAGATAAGATTGCATTAGTTTGCTAAATATACAAAAAATGAAACATCAGCTAATAATAACTATTTCTAAGGCTTTCTAAAGAATATTACTTTCATCTTCTTGTAAAATATATTCAGGATACACTGACTGCAAATCTTATAATAGCCATGCAGTTCAATTATTTATATGTCTTTTGAGAACTAAGTCTCACTGAATAAAATATTGGTTACTTAAGCATATTGAAAACTGGATTCTGATTGAGTTATGCTAGGAATAAGACCACTAAATTTAATAGAGCAACTTAATTGTGCTCCTCCCAAGTTTTATTTATTTCAGCAGATATACTTTTAAGCATAAGTAAGGATCCAACCTTTTAGTTACAATCCTAGACTTTTTAACCTGGAAAAAGCTCTAAATAAACCCAGTGCACTTTACAAAGATGAAAACATTGTAAACTGTTCAGTTCTACCTATAATTCTGCAAATAATATTGTAGAGCATAATAGAATTGCAAATAATATGGATAGTTCAAACTATCTCCATAACTGTATTTTTAATAGATATGCACAGAATTGCATAGTCTCTTAGTTGTCAAAATAGCAACTGTATCCTTAACCATTTTACTGTATGTATTCCTGCTCCAAGGTAACATTGTATTTCAAATGCCCATAAAATTTCAAGGCCCATGTATATATTTTATATTTTTAAGGTCTACAAGATCCTTGAAATATAGAATAAAGATAAGCAACAGAGGCTCAAATATCACCTATATTGCTTTACTCACTATTATGAGATTAGAAATATGTTGAGAGCTATAGTCTGCTGGCTCCAAAACACACTGTTCTACATTACCTGTTGCCCAGGAGTATATGTCCCAATCATTGCTTGGCTCATTTATTAGACGGTCATAAAGGTCCAGTTGTTGTTCATTCATTTGATTCAGATTTTCTTTGGCAAATAAACTATTAAAAACAATTAAGAGTTCTGTGAAATGCCAAAACAAAAGTGCTAGCCTCATACAAAGCCAGTACACACAAAATGAAAAAAGAATCAAAAACACACTTCAAACACACCAACAGAAAAACAATCTGAATTTTCCTATATATTTAAAGAATTGACAATCCTCTCTTATGTTTCTTAGTAGTTTCTAATTAACTCTATTTGTCTATTATCATTCGAAGAGGCAGGGACCAACTCTACCTCATCTGAAGTTGCCCAAGTAATATTCAATTTGCAGAAGCATCTATACTCACAACAAAAACATCTGTACTAAGGAAGGCTTTGTGCACAATGCATCCTTCTGTGTTGACTTTGAGGAGACAAAAGACCAGATTATGTCAGACAGCACATATTTAATATCAAGACCTTACAGGGAAAAGATATGGTAATGGCTATGTAGTTTAGATTGCTTTACAGGACAAATTAGTCCTCGCAAGTAGGACTTAGGGAGTTCACATAGTAAACTTGGTAAGAAAAACTTTAGCCCAGTCAGCAAGTGATAAAATAAAGGAAATCTTCTCAAGCTGAACTTGATTGCTTAGCCCATGTCCCTATAGAAGCAATATGGTGGTGGGACTCATCTCCGGTGGGAATGAATCTGCCTACTGAGATGAGGTGGACCAGTAGCTTTCATGGTGTGGAGACAATAACTTGGTCCTCAACACTAATAAGACTAAGGAGCTTATAGTGGACTATAGAAGGAACAGATCAGACACCCAGCCCTTGCTTATCAATGGAGACCAAGTGGAGCAAGTGGCCAGTTTTAAGTTTCTGGGTGTTACCATAAAAAAGGATCTGACCTGGGGTGCTCACATTGCAGCACTGGTAAAAAGGGCCCAGCAGAGATTATACTACCTGAGACTTCTCAGAAAACAACTGAGTGAAAAACTGCTCGTGATCTTCTACCGCTGCACCATAGAGTATCTTACCTTACTACACTTCTGTATGGCTTGCCAATTGCACAGTGGCAGATAGAAAAGCACTCCAGAGGATCACTGATTGCCCTCTCGCCTCTTTGGAAGAGCTTTATAGCTCCCGCTGCCTTAAGAAAGTTCAAAACATTCTCAAAGATCCATCTCATCCTGGGCACCCTTTTTTTGAACTATTACCATCTGGCAGACGGTACAGAATAATAAAAACAAGGACAAATAGGCTGAAAAACAGTTTCTATCCCAGGCCAGTAACTCTATTGAATTCTACTGTATAGTACACTGAAGATGGTATTTAATTTCATTGTACAATGTGCAGTGACAATAAAGTAAACTAAACTATGTATATGCCATTGTGGCATTGCAGGGTTATTTACTTCCTATTCTGGCTTACAGTCATAATATTTCCTAGTGGTCTTCCATCCAAATATTAACCACATCAGACCCTGCTATCACTTTTCAAGATTTGTTAAGTGGTGCTCCATGCTCTGCTGAATATCTCAGGGCAGGAGTCCCAGTGAAAGTTATGAAGAGTGGTTATTTGCACAGTATTCAAACATAGTTATTGTATTATTAACATTTAGCTTGTCCCAAAAGGGTCTCAGCTAAATAACACAGTAGTAAAAATTAAAATTGCGGGACCCTGGACTAGAGATTGTGAGTATGGGTAATCCGCCACTTAAGACCACAACTGAGCCCAAAATTTCTATTAAGTGAGTTCTGCCCCCTTTTATAACCTTCCTTGCCACAGTTGTTCAGTGAATCATTGCAATTGTTAAATTAATCCAATGGTTGCTAAGTGAATTTGGCTTCCCCACCGATCTTGCTTGTCAAAAGGTTGCAAAAAGGGAATTATATGACCTTGGGATACAGCAACCGCCATAAGCATGAACCAGTTACCAAGCATCTGAATTTCAATCACATGGGGCTGCCGCGAAGGTCATAAATCTGAAAAACGGTCATAAGTCACTTTTTTTCAGTGCCGTCGTTAACTCTGAACGGTCACCAAAGGAAGTTAAGTTAAGTCTAGGACTACCTGTACGGTGGCTGGGAAAAGAGAGAAGCAAAACCGCCCACCTGAGCAGCAGGCAGTTCTCCAACATGCCTCTTTTGCGGCTCTCATATAAGAGCCTGGCGCGCTTGCTGGCCAGGGGCTCGTCCGGCCGAGCCTGCCAGGGAGGGAGCGGGATCTCCAGCAGGTCCTTCCCGGAGTCAGATGGAGAATCCCCGCGGTAGCCACACTTGGGCGAGCGGGAGAGACAGCCGGGCAGCAGCAAGATGCGCTGCGAGGAAAAGGAGAGAGAGATGCGAGCGACCATCCTTCAGAAATAACGACCTTTCTCCGGTCCTCCCAGCCTGCCTCCCACACTCACTCACCCGAACCATTAGAGCCGCCATCCTTCTTTCCCTCCGAGCTCCTCTATCATTTGCTCTCGACCATAGATGTACAAGGTAACGCGAACCAGGATACACTTACTTTCTTCAGAGAGCCATAGAGAGCTCGTCCGCGCATGCGTCTCAATTCGGCCCCGTTCGAAAACGGCCAACCCGTCGCTTCGAACGCCGCCGGGACGGGAGCCAAGTAGGAAGTTTGGATCTTTCCTTTTTGCTTTCTTGCGCGGAGAAACATCAGAAAACCGGAACAGGCGGGACTCGACAAGGCGGAAGGGGCGGGGCGAAGGAGGCCCTCACTGTGGTGGAGTGAGTGAAAGAGAGAGAGAGGTTCGCGCGCGTTTTGGGCCTGCTTGGGATTGTGGGCCTTTACGCGGTATAACGGGGCCGCCTAACATTGGGGAGAGAGAAGGTTCTTCGTTGGCTGTGTGGTGGTGACCCGGCGGGGCGGGGGGTGTGGGGCGCTCCCTTCCCAGCGCGGGAAAGCGGGAGGCGATGGCTGCCGCGAGCGAGCGGCCGCAGTTATGGCGCCGACATGGGGGGGGGGGTGTCTCCGTTTCCCACCTTTTTGCTCCCCGACCCCTCCTCTTGCGGAACCCTCAGATGCTCGCTGATGAAGGGGGCGGGGTTGCTTTGCGGTCCTAGGTCCGCCTCGCTGCCGGCCCGGTTCGTAGCCGCGCCAGAAAGATGATCCGTGTGGTCCGCGTTAACCCGGTTCTTTGCTTTGACCTGCAGTGCCGCTCTTTCCCTCCCCCGATTCTCTCCGTGGCGCTCCTGAAACTATGTCGGAAGGAGTAGACCTCATCGATATCTACGCCGACGAAGAGTTTAACCAGGTAAGTGTTGATGCGGCTTCATTGGGAGAGAAGTGGGGGAAAGGGCACAAAAAAGGAGTCAGATCTTATTGAAGCTTCACCTTGTTATATACTTGGGGGCAACAACGCGCTGATTTAATCCAACTGATCTTTTTTTTTCCCCAAAAAGATTTTAACTCTGAAGAGGATTGATTGCCAGGTAATGGTGGTTAAATTTCATTTGCAATTCGAGTGGGGATAAACTTTTCCTGCTGTGCTTGCCAGTTGGTTTCAAAAATGTTTTTTTTAATCTGCAAGGAAGAAGAAATAGCATTCCTTAATTTAAAGTAATAAGTATAAATGAAAAGTGCAGTTTGGAAGAAACACTCTTTTTTCATGGGGAAGGCGGATTTGCGCACGTTAAATTTTTCTTTTTAGTGGGAACAGAAAACAAAACATCTGTAGTGACAAATTTACACACAAAAATATTGCAATTAGCTTAATTTGTATTTGAGTGTGCTTTTCTTTTTTTTGTGTGTGGAATTGCATCTATTAAATGGAGTTGGATCTTTGTTTTGTTTTAGACTTGGATGTTGCATATGAAGAAGGGTTGCATGAGTTAGATATGTCTAGTTTAATGAAAAGAAGAATTAAGGGTGCCATGATAGCAATGTTCCAACATCTAAGGGGCTGCCACAAAGAAGAGGAGATCAACCTATTCTCCAAAGACCTGAAGGCAGGACAAGAAGCATTGGATGGAAATTAATCCAGGAGAGAACAAACCTAGAAAAATAAGGGGACATTTCCTGACAGTTAGAACAATTAATCAGTAAACAGCTTCCTTCAGAAGCTGTGGGTGCTCTATCACTGGAGGTTTTTAAGAAGAGATTGGACAATTACTTGTTTGAAATGGTATAGGGTCTTCTGTTGGAGCAGAGGAGGTTGGAGTTACACCAGTTTATTCTGTTGCAGTTACACCAGTTTATGTCAATATAAGTTAAGCAGTATAGGCAGTCCTCAACTTACTATCACAATTGAGACCAGAATTTCTGTTGGTAGTTGCTAAATGAGCCATGTCTGATTTTATGACTTGCAGGGTTAAACAAATCACCGCAGCTAAGCGAATCATGCAATTCTTAAGCGAAACGAGGTTTCCCAATTGACTTTGCTTGTTGGAAGCTAATTGGGGAAGATTGCAAATGGCAATCACATGATCCCCAGGATGGTACAGCCAACATACACTGATTGCTAAGCACCTGAACTCTGATCATGTGATGTAGTGCAAATGTGATTTTGTGATGGAATGCCAAACGTCATCATCACTTTTCAGTGCTGTTGTAACTTTCAGCAGTTGCTAAATGAATAGTTGCACCTTTTAAATAAAGCATTGGAAAGTCAGCAGAGGAATAATAATTTGGCAGGCAGAGAATTTGGAACCAATCTGTCATTAAAATTGCTTAGTACTAACAAACACCATTTAGTTTTGGAAGTACCTCAGATCATTGATATGTCTTGTGATATACAAGCAGAAGATTCCAGGTTCTATTGCTTAGACTTGTGTCTAAAACTCTGGAGAGTGCCTGTTACTATAGATAATATTAGAAGGAATAGGTTAATAATTTAAGCAAAGTTCTTAGAAAAGTTTGTGTAAGGTTCTGGGTTCATACTTGCATTTTATTCCTTATCAAATAGCTTCTTTTAACAGGATTCAGGATGTTTGCTTGGTATTTAAGTTGAGATGTTATAAGTCAATTACTATTAAGTCATGTGCCTCTGATTTTTATCCTAGGGCAAGGCAACTTTATATCTCCTAGGTAGTCTTGCACTTTACTTAGCAGCAGCAACTCACAAAGAATCCCGATGGATATCTTCTGGATATCTGTATCTGAGATAATGTCAGCAACCTTTCTGAATAATTAAAATTTGCTACCTGGAATCAGTTTGAAACTTCCTTTCTAGAGTCACAAAAGTGCCTATTACACTAATGCAGTCTTAAGTAAGAATTGTGTACACTTTTCATTCTGGCAATATTTTTAGTCCTCATATTTGCAACTAGGACAAAGGCAGATACTTTGGTAATTTTTCCAGCATGCTGGGTGGTTTGTAGTATAAGAAGTGTTTGTGGCATGCTACAAAATCTGCTGTGCTAATTATAATTTGGTGTTCCAGAGATCCAATAAATTACATTAAGACATAAGAGAATGACATAGATGTTTGTTTCTTGTGTTTGTTTTTGAAGTTGGATTACAACACTCAGGAAACAATGCATGTCATTCTTTGGCCTATGCATATATTAATTCTTTATACTTTTATGTCTCTATTAAGTAAAATAGATGCCTGCCTGAGAGGATTATATCAGTGATTAATTATTGTCCATTATGTCTTTTATATTACCATAGTGTTCTGAATTTACAATTATTTGTTCTTTACAATCAATTTATTTATGAAAGTCTTCTGTTCTGGACAGGTTTAATTGGATTTATTCCCTGATATAGAATTACTTGTATGTTTCTTTCTCTAAATCCTGGTGAAGTTGGAGAGAAGAACAAAGGAAATAAGTATTGCTTCAAAAGTGTTCTGTGATTTTTGGAGTCCTACATTATATATATTGTTTTACTTATAATACATTCATCCATTTCATTGCTAAAGTGTAATTATGTATTTGTCCTAGCTCAAATTTTTTGAGGGAGAAAAGTAACATTTTGAAGCTACAGTATATATTTCCATAGATGCATCTTGTTTTGGGTTCCTCTAGAGGTCCTATTTGAATTGTTGCACGTCCTTTCGAGAGGACTGATTTAAAAATATTGGATATATGGATTTGTATTTGTTTATAATTTGCCTTACTTGAGATGCACATCATAGGAACTTGTGTGTTCGTGTACATAAACAGGTATATAGATAAATCCTCAAAGGATTTTGTTTGCTTTTGTGATGAATCATTTGTTGAACAGATTTTTGCCTATAAGCTAATACAGGTGAATTCTGCAGCAAGTGGCAGTGTCCAATGAATATTGGCTAATTCCGACAAAATTAAACAAGGTCAGATCAGAATGATATTTAGATAAGAAACCACCAGGATTTAATTTGGGTGACAGTATAGATTGGAACATTGGAAAAAATACCCTGGAAAAAGGAATGGTGAGCCATTTCCATATTGCCACTAGGAAAATACAGTATTGTGGATTATTTTCAAGAATGACGTGAACTTGTCATTGCCTGTGAACCTGACTTAAAGGAGCTTTGACTTTTAGCACTGGATCCCCATAAGTAGAAAACTTAGTTGTCTCAGAGCAAAGGAATGGGAAGCTCACTGAAAATCTGGAAACTGAAGCATTACAATACTGCTCTTTCTGTAAATGGGCAAATGTGTGTTTACATGCTTCTAGGAACTCTGAAGTATTCACTACAGGCTTCCAAAGGGTTACTACGCCAATTATTTGTTCTGTATGCTTGTAATATAGTTTTGCATATGTTTTGTGAATCCTGGTTTTTTCTCTTCAAACTGAATCTCCAAATTTCCATTTGCTTTAGTTAATATTACTATTACACATTTACAATCTAATATTAAGTGAATGATTGGAGTAAAAGTTCCATCCATTTTTGTAATATAGTGGCAGAATTATTTCCATGGTCTAAGTAGTCCGATTCAGAATCAGAACCTTTATTTTTCAAGCTGAGTTTCCAGAGTTAAAGGCATCTTTGACATGTTCTCCTTTCGTTATTTATTAATTGCTAATATCTCTCCCTACCCCCATTTCATGTGATCCCTGGATTGTTTTAGATACATTTTCATGGTAAGGTCTAGAAATACAGTGGATGCTATCAAATAACATGCATAAATTATTGTTGCATTCTATTTTGCTGCAATACTTGGTTCCCAATTATCCCTTAGTAATTTGTATATGCTAGTACTGCTCTTTAAGATTACCATTGTGTATTTTTAGCTGAGAAAGTAACTAATGCTTCTGAATAGTTTTTGGTAGATTATGTTATGCTTTTTATGTAAGTGTGTATTGTAGTTCTACCAAAGTGAATAGGATGTCAATGTCCATAATTTTTGTGTTTTAACTTCTTTTTTCCTAAACAGCATTCAGTTTTGCAATGCATACAGATGCAAAGCTACTGTTTTGTTAAGAGACAAGACATTTTCTAAATGGCAAGATGAGTTACAAGTGACCACGACCATGAGTTACATGTAAATTTAAAGAACTTAGGTCTTGTAAAGATAATTCACTAAACTTTCTAAACATGTTTTGCAGTTAAGTCAGATGTCTTCATCAGCCAAATACTTTTGCATTTCAGCAAATTGTTTCTTTAAAATAGTAAAAGAACAGAAGTTCAAGGAAAAAATATATTATGAGAATGCTAACACCCCCTTTTCTTTGTAAATGTAAGGGAACACATGCCTTGGATTCAGATTTCCTATCAGCAGAAGCATAAAATGTTCACAC